AGCTCTTACGATGTGTCTAAGGAAATTTCTGAATAAATGGGTTGGAATACCCCACCATGGTCCATCCGTTATGATCATTGAGTGCATCGTCTGAATAAAGTCCGGCTGGAATGCTACACCGTGAGCTGCGGCTGCGTGCGCCGCCATTATGACATGCTTTATTTAGAAATGCAGCCGTGTTACCAGCCGGTGTTGACGGAGTTTCAGTCCTGAATGTTTTTGTTTTGTTTTCACTCATCAGCCACAGATCGCTACTCTCGCTCACAGCATGCTGGGCTTCCTACCATGGTGGCTCACTCACATGTTCCCTCTCCTACATTAATTTATGACGTGGATTCCTAATGTTTTAATTCACCGCCTCACCACACCAGTGTGTTTTTCCTGTTTGTGAGATGAAAACTACTGGTATGGAAGCCTGGAAAGACCAAAATTTCTCAAACGTTTTTTTTTCCTACTGGCTGATATGAATTAATAGAATAGAATAGAAAACATTGTATTAGTCCCACAGTGGGAACATCCACTCATTACAGCAGCACACACACTTAGAGACACAGATTACAGTAAAACTGATTCCAGCCACGTTTGCTTTGAGAACTTCAATAACTTCATGCTGATGACCCACATGAGCATAATCATGTTTAGTGGATGCAACTACATCATGAAGTTAGCTTAACATGATAAGATTGTTTTTCTTGGCAGGAAATAATAAATGGAGATATTATGAATGACATGATATTGCCCACCCCTAGATGGAATTCAAATCATTCATTCATTATAATAGTGTTGGGAGTAACGCGGTACAAAGGTAATTAATTACTGTAATGCATTGCTTTTTGCTGTAATGTGGTAATGTAAGGCATGACAGGGAAAGAAAATGGTATTATTTACTCGGTACAATTGTCAGTAACGTGGTAATTACAATGCATTTTTAAACCCAGAATCAAGATGTGGGTTTCCTAAAAATTCAAATTGCAGGAAGCCTGAAAAACGATCCAGTATCCACATATATTACATAATTTATGGACTCAGCTTTGCGGGCATTCTATGAGCAGAGAGGACGCAGCGGTAATGGCTCAAATACTCCAGCTGTGTCCTGCGCGCAGCCGCTGTTATACCGTAAATCCTCTAATACAGGCCCGGGCCTGTATTTTACTCAAGCTCATCAAGCTCCAGGCCTTTATTGGAAGGATGACCAGAATAAGAGGCAGGCCTCTATTTCTATTTGAGCAAAATGAACTAATGGTTTGCTGGAGTTTTTGACAATTAAAATTGCGCCCACATTTTCAAAGTTAAACACATTTCTTTTAACAACGGTAGTTTCTGCTTCAGCCATCTCCCCCCTCCCCCTCACCCTCCCACCCATTTTCTGTTCCTCACTTCTGATTACCTTCAATGGTGTCTGTTTGTTGCAACCACCAGGTACAAAAACTAACTTGTTTTTATTTGACTATTTTTCTGTCCTGCCTGTTTATTATCTTCCTGCTTCTCCTCTCAATCCTAAAGAAAAACTGCTACCTGGGTTCATATATATTCACCTTATGAGTTACCTTTGAACAGCAGTTCTAAAATATCTACCGACCGCAAAAACAGCGGAGTGCTCGCCGGCCACATCAGTTAGGTGCGTCACCGAGGACAAAACAGGTGATGCGCCCTGATCCACAGCAGTGAAACGCATCAGGCGCAAATAAAAGAATAAAAGACAGAAAACATAAAAGGAAATGAGCCGACATGAACAATCGCGTGTTAAATTTGTTTTTGAGGTGGTGACACCTGATTTGATGTTACTGTGGCCGTGCTCAGGAAGCAGATGGCTGGAGCTCGTCAACAATCAGAGCTTTGCATGCGCAAGCTGGTTAATATGAGGTTAGGATGGGGGTGAGGGGAATGTTGAATTGCAAGAGGGTAAACGTCACAATTTGGTTAAATGTCCATTTTACGGCGGGTGTCAGTACCGACGCTCTGGCACAGCGAGTTGCCTCCCGACGCGCAGGAGCTTGTCACCTGCTGACAGCAGGCTGCTGTCTTTTCCGTGAGCTGCATCTTGCCGGTCATTATCACGTGACAGCGACTAGTCAATGACAGGCATAAAAAGTCACTATAGAGCGGCGAAGTCAACTAGTGACTAGTTCATACAACCCCTACTGCTCCCCAGAGTGTTCTGCAGCATAATCAGCACGTTCTCTTTGAACTTGATATTAAATTTTCGCCTCCTCTTCGTCTCTGCACGGTTAGTTACCCTCACGGTCTATCACTGGCAAATCAAAAGTGAGACGGATGACACAACCGCCCCCCCTGTGGTACTTGCTTGTTACCACACTCCACCCGGCCACAATAAAAAAACGGCCATTATTCACCTCCGCCGACTCAGACCAAAATATGATACCTGGCAGTTAATTAAATACAGGCTAATATTAGAGGATTTACGGTATTCACAAAATCGCTCCACCAAAACAAAGTAATTCGTTTGCGATCGTTTATATCAGCCTATATTCTCTGGTACTTCATGTACTTTTCAGCTGAGTTCATAATCTGTGCCCCGGTGATTTCAAGTCATTGCTGCTGGAGCGCAGCGCATATTAAGCTTTTTATTTTTTTATTTTTGCGTTCAGTAGATGCCTTTGGCTGATTAGTTAGAAAGTAGGAAATCTGATGATGTGGTCCTCCTAGCTTCATCCAGCTCTGACTTTCAGCTCTTGCTGGGTAGGTTCGCAGCCTAGTGTGAACCGGCTGGGATGAGGATCAGCACCTCCAAATCTGAGACCATGGTTCTCGACCGGAAAAGGGTGGCTTGCCAACCCCGGGTCAGGAGAGAGGTCCTACCGTAAGTGGAGGAGTTTAAGTGTCTCAGGGTCTTGTTCACGAGTGAGGGTAGGAGGGATCGGGAGATCGACAGGCGGATTGATTCAGCATCTGCAGTGATGCGGACGCTGAGCCGATCTGTCGTGGTGAAGAGGGAGCTGAGCCAGAAAGCCAGGCTCTCGATTTACCGGTCGATCTACGTCCCAATCCTCACCTATGGTCATGAGCTTTGGGAAATGACTGAAAGAACGAGATCGCAGATACAAGCGGCTGAAATGAGTTTCCTCCGTAGGGTGGCCGGGCTCAGCCTTAGAGACAGGGTGAGGAGCTCGGACATTCGGGAGGGACTCAGAGTAGAACCGCTGCTCTTCCGGATCGAAAGGAGTCAGTTGAGGTGGTTTGGGCATCTGGTCAGGATGCCTCCTGGACGCCTCCCTGGGGAGGTTATTTGGGTATGACCTGCCGGCAGGAGGCCCCAGGTTGACCCGGGACACGTTGGAGGGGTTACATCTCCAATCTGGTCTGGGAACGCCTTGGGGTCCTGCCGGAGGAACTGGTGGAGGTGGCTGGGGAGAGGACGGTCTGGAGCTCCCTAGCTGGGATGCTGCCCCCGCGAACCGGACCCGGGTAAGCGGAGGACGACGACGACGATTTTACGTTGAACTGTAGGAAATCATTGTGTGGAGTTTTAATTGAATAGGCATCAATTACTCTGCCAAATTTGGCTTGTTGCCTTAATCAAAAACATTTTAAATCAGCTGAAATTTGCTAGAAGATTAAAGCTAATGTTAAATTGTGACATCTACAATGGCAATTATTATTGTCCAATGAGAGCTTATCGTGTCTCACTGCCTTGCCTATCAGCACGCGGCGCCTCTGCACATGACAGCAAGACCCTGCAACTTAAGTGAAGATCCTAGCAATTGTTTTCTGATCACTCTGAGACTCCATTGCTAATCATGTTTGCAATTTTCCCTTACCAGCTGCAGCCCTGACAGAAACTTACTTAGGTCACTCAAAAATTGTATTATTGTTTTGAAATGAGTTCAATTTTCAAAATGCAGCTGTGATTACATAAGTTTAGGCTTCTGAAAGTTGTTCATTAGTTACTTTAACCAACTTTGACCAGAATCATGTAGAATCATGTGTCGACATAAACTTCCCAGTTTATCCACACTAGCTTAAATTGCTGCCAACCAGCATTTAAGCATGGTAAGTTTAATAAGGTTTGTTTTAATGATTCACCACATTTCATTAACACAGTGTAAATGCCACAGCTTGCCATCTTCAAGTAACAATGGTAAAAAAAAATAGCTGAAATGTCCTCTATTTCCTCAGTTAGTGAGCATGTAAACAAAGAAGGTGCTTCAAACCCGTGATGCAAGGATACAAAACAAGAGAGATCAGAGGTACACCCTGTACTGATCATCAGTCCATCACAAGGCCAAATAACAAGTGATCCTTTTGCAGAGTCATTTCATTAAAGCACAGCTCAGTAAATGCTGGGAAAAACAACACACCATTATCATCTATAATGACCACACTGCATCACTTCCCCTTTGCCTCTATGAGTTTTCACAACTCCTGCTTTTGTTGGTAGTGAAGCAACTTCTACAGTCCGCCCAAGGAGAGAAAAACTAATTATTTTTTCTAAACTTTGTTGTAATTCAAATCAAGTTGTTTGTTGCTGAGACAAAGTTTTTTTTATATATATTACATAAGTGACTTCTCAATCTGACCAAACTGGTTATGGAGTAACTGTAGCACATGACCACACTGGTGTTAGCAGTTAGATCGTGAGATATGGAGGTGAACAACTAGTGGTATGAATCTCCAAAACGCATCAATCGGTGATGAGAACAATCCAAACACAAAAGGTATCACTTAATTGAATTTGTCCATTTTTATCCACACCAAACTAGCTCTCAATGACGTTAGCGTTGTGACAAAGAGGTTCCCAACAAGAATGAAACGTCTGGATTTGTTGTTTTGTTTTGTTTTTTTGTCTTTTAAACAACTGGTGCCAAGTTTAACAAAAGCTGCTTCTGATGCTGCGACTATTCAGTATGGGGCGCTGCTGCATCTTTTAAGGTTTAAACATAACCAAAACATAAAGCATGTTCGTTCTTAGATTTAGTCTTGGCTGAAGTAGAGATGGTGTACAGTTTCTCACAAGGTTGTAACAAAAATCTGCTTCTTACCAGCAAATCGCCTGCTATCCCAAAGACAACATGGTGCATCCAGGTGAAATCAGCTCCTCCACGAGTCAAAATACGCGCTCACTGCCAGACACCGTCTGCTGTTCGCTGGCTCAGCCCAACTTGTGCTTACAGATGGTGACGCCACTCCCCCGTCTTCGTGTGTTGGCGAGGTTACAGTAGGCCGAGTTTAGTCACCATGAGTCACCTTCCTCCTTTATAACTGCCAGCTCAGCTTCCAACTCCCCCGTCTCCCACTCCCCTTCTCTTCCCCTAAATTAGCCCGAATGGAACAGTCTTGGGCAACAACAAGAAAAGCCCTATGTCCTGTAAACTCGTCTTGCTATTTGTCCAAAGTGTAACTCCTCCTTCAGCCCAGCCTGTTTTATTAGGACTGAGCGTTCGCATGGAGACACCTACACGTGTGCAACAACACACATGAACCTCATTCTCCCACATGTACTTTTTTGAACGACAGAGCAGTGATTCAGCATATTTACTTCTACAATTGCAAACCCACAGAAGGTGATCCGGCCAGACATGCAAAAAGTCTAATATAAATCTGTGTGGTTAGATGACACAAAGACTTGAGAGGAGATAGGTTTTTTTATCTGTGTCAACTCTGAGCTACTTCTGCAAGAATGTGCTGCCTTAAACAATAGGAGTGTGAATTTTGAAGACTTTTGGAATCAAATATTAGCTATTTGCTGATTTACAGTTATTGTCAATTGTTTACACACATTTTCTGAAAGCATGCCTCATATTGTCAGAACTCTACACACAAATCCAAACAAAACACACACGGGGCAAAACCCCTCAATTAACCTGCAAAATGAAACTTCACATTCAAAACAATGTTATTTCTTCTCACAATGTGATTTTGTTGTCAAAGGACACACACAAACCATCATATGGATAGATATTGATTAGAACCAGCCTAACACTTATGTAATCAATGTAAAACACTATGATGAATAGAAATCACTTCTTCTCCATTCATCATAATGACTAAAGCCTTTTTGGTTTCGTGTTACATTTACTACAGACAGTAAATACATACTGACTCTTTCTGAATTGCATTCAAATGGCACCCTGTGGACCTGCTTCATCCTGAGATGATATCCGGGCAAGACACGGTCCAGTGTTGATAAGATGACCCAATCAATATTTTGAAACGTCATTGTTTTCTATTATTTTTGTTTGGATTTGCCGTAATGTTATGGCATTGTCTTCTAGGACCATGTTAATGATTTCAGTTCCCTGTTCAGGAGACAGAAGACGTTCCCGACCACCTCGTTTTGGTAATCTTTCAGTTCTGCCAAACAAATAGTAAAATTCTGGCAATACAAAGTAGGTATACATTTCCTAAATACTGGAAACATACTTTACAGTATTTTTTATGTCCAACAAAACAGTCCACAGGCAATACTACTACTATACACACTGAATACTGATTGTATTGATATGCAGTACTGCCATTTTCTAGTGAGAGAAAATTTCTTACCTATTCTCATTTCGGAAAGCCTGGATGATGGATGCTACAGTGTACCTGCTCAAATTTGGCTGGGCTCTTTGCTCAGCCTCCCTCATTGTAAGACCATGGTTGACCACATGATCAACCAAAGTGGCTCGGATCTCATCAGAGATTACGGTTCTTGGTCTTCCTTTTCCTTGTCCTTGCCCTCATCCTCCCCGTCCTCCTCCTTTTACTCTCACTCCTCTGGCTCTGCCTCTGTTTCCAATGTTGGCATCCATTGCTCCAAAACAGAAGAGCTCACCTGTTGCCCTTTTATGCTAAAGCTCTGATTGCTGATTGTAAAACTGTGTGACAGGTGTTTGCCCTTGTGATGAGTCAGTGTGCATATTTGAATAGCAGTGTGTTCCTTGTGAAAACAAGATATTTTCTGCATGAAAAGTGTGCCAACAGCAGAGAATTGTGTGTAGTGTTTTGAAAAAAGTGTTTTAGATTTGAAATTTGAATGCAAAGCAGGAATTGTGCTTGTAGTTTAGCAGAATTGGTTAAGGGGGTTGGTGAACTGGTTACATGTTGTGGTCATTGTGTCTCAAGTACCAGAAAATGTGTGTAAACAATTGAGAAAACTGTAAATAAAATATGGTGTTTTGTTGTTGAAGCAACTAGAAGAGTTTGATGTAGTTTTTACCATTAATCTCTGGAAATATCAGTCAAAATATTGAAAATATTTAATGTCTGATTTTATCCCAAATAAAAAATATTTTTATAAATTAAAGTTGATCAGTGCTATAAAAAAACAATTGTTTTTATGTTAAATCAACAGGATTCCATTTTGAATTGTAGGATCTTATGCTCATTATTGTGCAAACATTTCACCAAACTAAGTCAATTCATCCTAAAGTTTTAATGAAGCGCTAATATTTGCCTACTGCCTGCAATAAAATCTAAAGAAGCAAAAAATACTGAATGTCAACCATCTTTGAGCTTAAAACATGTAGCCAGATTTGGCTATTTCCATTTTCTTCATTACCAGAATTGGAATCTGCACTGTGCAACTATTTCTAGTGGTATTCAGCTCCATCTCAAACTCTACAACTACGTCATGTTCTGACACTGACCCGACTAATCACACTGTACGTATGGTAGTGATCTACTTACAAATTTGCCCAAATTGTGTTTTTTATGCAACATGTTGGATCTTTGAATCTGGAAACTCAAAAGAGAGGAGATGTTGTGTTGTGAATGGTGTCTGCTGTTCTTGAGGCTTGCCATAGTTGTAAGAAGACATGCAGATATTTATGTGGTAAGGAGGTAGAAAAAGAATAAATTACATGTGGGAAGTAAGGGAATCAGTTTTTATTTGACATAAAACACAAAACCACACTTTCTTGATGATCCTTGCCATTGTGGGTGAAGGAAAGTGTAAAAAGATGTGTTGGTGCATCTGCTGTGTGTGTGGTTAACATGACTGCCAATCGAGAGGTGTAAATCACTTTATGTCTCCACCACACACACGACTAGGGATGGGTACCTTTGACATTTGAATCGATTCGGTACTAATTCCCGGTACCTAGGAATCGATACCGGTACTTAACGGTACCAATTTTCGGTACTTTTGAGTGTTTATTATTTTAATTCTCTTTTATAATTAAATATATATTTTTCTCAATATATAACCATATTTGATAAATATCACGATAAATAACATACAACTGTTTGTATTTTAACATGGTCCTTGTAGTTTTACAAGCGGATAATTAAACTGAAGCAAACATCTTTACTGTAAACTAAATTTACTGCGTATCTTCATTCCTTTTGCCGTCTTTTTTCATTTGATTTTTCCTACTGGGAAGTTAGAATTTCCAAGGAGTAAGCGAACGCACCATTAGCTGATAACAATGCTGGTAATGGAAGCTAACATATCAAGCTAACGTTATCTTTAACAGTTTATTTAACTGCTGGAGCAGATTAAAACGATGATGCCGCACACTTAGATCGTTGTCACTGGTTTCATCTTCACCCAATCACCCATCACATTTAGTAACGTGAAGCCAAACTTTAGAGCGCGTTCATGTTCTTCTAGTCGGAAATTCGGAGTTCCGAGAAGAAAGCGAACGCACCATTAGCGAAACGGAAGCTAACATCTCAAGCTAACCTTATCTTAAACATTTTATTTACCTACCGGAGCAGATTAAGGTGAGGATGTCTCACTTAGATTGTTGTCGCTGGTTTCATCATCACCCAGTTACCCATCACATTTAGTGAAGTGGACCCAAGCTTTAGCGTGCGTTCTTTCTACCATGCTGCTCTGTTTACAACTGGCTCGCAGCGAGCGACGACATAATGCTCTTGCGCATGCGCAGCTGTCTTGGCAAGTTCTCGTTATGAAGGACGGGTACCGAAATGAGGCACAGTTTGAAATGACGTGAATCGGTGCTCGGTCGGTACTGTGGAATTCGGTCGGTGCCTTAAAAAGTACCGAATTCGGTAACCATCCCTACACATGACACAAACTCAGCCCATCCTCACAGATTGCTGCATGAGTGGAAAATTGGCTCAAAATGGGCCAAAAATAAATCAGTGTATACTCCACGTAACGTGGACACGGATGACCAATTTAATCATTATACATGCACCACGTGAAATGAAATCCCTGGACGCAAAGCGAGCTGCTTTGCTATTGAATGCAGCCCATCTTTTAGTATTCCTCCATCTACAGTCTCGCCATCCCGTATCCCTGAATACTAAAAACACAAACCACTAGGATGGCTGGTCTTGTCACAACAGAGGAGAACAGAAAACAGCATGCTTCAGCTGCAGCGAACTGACAAGAATCCCTTGTTTGTACACAAAGAATTCAGCAGTGGGTTAGCTCCAGTTCTCATGGTGCCTCAAGTGTATTTGCTGGGTTATTTTGGTCCAGGGGCCGGACCCGTGAAGGTCATCAGTTCATTGGTCGAGTCAGAGGAGTTCCTGTCCAGACTGGCCAGTCAAAAGAGTCTTGTACCCCTTAACAATGCTGTGCCAAATAAGTCTAACAAATTAACATACACATCAGTCAAACACTTCTTTCTGTGAGGCAGGCAAGGATTTGTAGGTTTACAACAATCATGGTTGCCATGATGCTGTAAACAAACAGCCCATTTATAGATTATCATTGTAGCTCTGTAGAGTGTTAAACAACAGTGTTGATGTTTCAGAGTGGAGTCCGACTCCACTGTGCTAACCTAAGGATGCACACACAGACATCAGACAACTTCTACCATTTTGTCCATTTTAAAATCCGTCTATTACTCTAAATGTTTTTTTTTCTATGTGCTGCACACAAGGGACAAAATAATTACACAACAATAAAAGGTTGTGATCATTTGGGCAGCCCTCCATCTAAAACAGACATATTTCTGTTATGAAAACAAGTACAGAAGCTCATAAACACATGTAAAATAGTTGTCAGTTGACAGTTCAGTGTTTCATCCACAAATATGAGTTTAAATCCATTATAAGTAAAGAAAACATAAATGAGGCCAAATGTTTTTGGTTTTAACTAAGTTGGCTGCTTCAGTGTTTGTGAGTCATTTTCTTTCCTAATGTTTTGCATGGCATACTGAAGTTTAATAAAAGCCTTTCACAAGTTAAAAAGGCTTTTATTGAGTAATACAATAAATTTAAGCAAAATCCATCTTCGGTCCTTTTTGAAACCTTTGCAAATCACCCTGACATTCTTTCAATCAACTCCTGGTTAACGTCCTGACGTTAGTTAAATTCTGAGGCATTCATTCCCTTGGCTAAGAAGCTCCAAACGTAACAGCTGAAGATCAACATTTCCTTCAGATGTGTCTCTTTCCCAGCAAACCTTCCATTAGAGTCCTCATATTAGCTTCAAACGTTTGATCAACATCTTACCTGCTCCAACAGGTGATGGGTTACATCCTCATCACCTCAACCTCTTTGCTGAGGCGAAAGCTTCAACTATTGGATGACAGGTCAGAAGTCCCATCCACTACTCTCGCATGTAGCTTGACTAATTGCAATTGTGATTGCTGGAGCCTCATTGGTGTGTGCCAGGCCCACAGAACATCTGAACGCCACCTGTGCGTATATTGCCATTTGTTGAACAGACATAATCGCTTGGAAACTTTTTACACATTGCCCAATATTAGTTGACATTGACTGATAAGAGCTCTCACCTATTCTTCTTCTGACACTCCTTTAATCAGATGCTTCTGATAATCCGAATTGGAATTAATCAGAGAAAATGACTTTTCTCAGTCCTCAGCAGTCCTGCAGAGTATCCCTCTATTGCTGATGTTTTTCATTGACAGAAGAGGCTTCCTTGCCACCAAGGCATCCTACAAAAATCTTCTCACTATGCTGCAGCTGTACCCACACCTGCCAGCTATCATTCCTGGGCAGCTCTGCAGTGATGGTGTCATGATGGCACATCTGGTGGTGTTTTGGGGTTTTCTTAGTCTCTCTGAGGCTTTTTTCACAAATGCTGTTAAAATGTTATGGGGGGAGGGGGATTCATTTCTTAATCATGATAAAAAGGGACGTTGCAATTGATTGTCATGAAGCATGGTCAGATGAAATGCAGTCTAGAGCAGGAATGTCCAAACTTTTCAAGGTGAGGGCCAAAATAGTTGTGTTTGGCCCCTGGGCCGCACTTTGAACATGTCTGGTCTAGAGTTTATGTAAACTGCCATCATTAAAGCTCAGGCAAAAATAAAAATCTTTTTTTGACCATAGCTGTACCTTGCTAGCCTGGCAAGCCATATGTGAATATATAGTTTGGCTGCAACCCATAGACCGTCAAAGAAGACAGAAATACATTATTTTTTCTAAATAAAGTACTTAAGTACCTCTATTTGCTCTTGACTCCAAGAAAAGCCCAAGCCTAAATGGGCCAAAGGTAATGCCAAAGTAATTTCAAACAAGCCTCAGCCACCTTTGTTGGTTTGCTCCAATGCAGCATTGGTGCTAATCCCACCCACCAAATCAGCACAGTGCTGTGATTGGCAAGACACAAACCTGCTCAGACCAATGCTGCGTCAACAATGGAGTGTGTCAAGACCAAACTGCAGAGCAAGATCTTTTGCTTCTGCTACGGACCTTCTAGATCTCTAGGCTATACCTTGCTAGAACTGAGTAGATTCTGGCAGAAAGTAGAAATATCAAAAAAAGAATAGAATAGGAATTTTTTTATCCCATGGTGGGATAATATATATATATATATATATATATATAAATAATATCAATACTGAATATTGCATTGATGGTATTGTTTAACAGGATAATGCCAGTACCAGTTAAACTATGGAGTTATGCACTCTTACTGCATTCGGAATGAAATACTTAGTAAACCATGAAAAATATATCCTCCAAGTTCAACAACAATGAGATTTGAGGTATTTTTTAGCATAACCTAAAAGATGCAACAAAATGAGTATACCTTCAAAGTCATAAGTACTAGGTCACCAGTAAAGTGTGTTGGATGTTCCTATATCTTAATGCATTACATCACTGGTTGTTTGTTGGTCCCTTTCTGTTAAAAAAATAAAAAATATCTAATAGTACTGAGTGAATACCACTGCAGGTGTTTGTGTTGGTACACAAACCTACAAACCAGCAACGCAACATTTTTTTCTTTCCTTTTTTTTTTTTGAGTGAATCTACAGAGGACAAAGAAATGGAAGGAATTTTGGAGATAAGATCAGAGATAAAGAAAACAAAATTAATCGCACTTTAAGAGTTACACGCCAAATGATTCAGAAAACGTTTCACTTCCTGTCTTGGGCCTTCTCCTTCTCCACTTATCATTCAGTGTTTATCTCTCTCTCTCTTCTAACCCTAACCCTATTCTCCACAACTGAATAATGTGCAGTTTCCTCTGACCCTTTGAATTGTGAAAAATGAAAAGATTGCTGACTCGAGAGAAAGGGAGGAGGAATAAATGTTAATGACCAAAACATTTTCAGAGTTTAAGAAGCATGGAGGATAGTAGTGTGTCTTCCTTGTTGTTTACATAATCACACTACGACACACTTGACACAAAGCACTCCTCCTGTAGCACCACTCGGACTAGCTTTAAGGTGAAAGTAAGGACAAGGTTACTTTTTATGACTCATGAAGTCTCCAGGAAATTGGTGAAAGTCAGTGGAGTGCTCTATAAAGTGACACCTGCATAAGCTTTTTGAAGGACACGTGTCAGATTTGATCAGAAATATAAAAGTTCTGTAGTCTTGAATCCTAGTTAATAGACAGGAAGTGGAGGTTGCAAAAGACGTTTCATGGTAAGGTGAAAAAGAAGCAGTCAAATTTAATCACTGCTCTGAAACAGGCCCAAGTTATGGTCAACCTTCACTATGAGGACTGTGTGATGTCATTTTTATCACCTTTACCTGCCCACACAGTTCACCAGGTGCCTTCACATATATTGTCTATAACTCAGGGTGTGTGGAAACACTCTAGGACAGTATGTAAACCAACAATGCATGAGCATTACTGAAACATACACACACATAAGACCTGGGGCACCTCCTTACAGCTTTCTAATTGGAATCACTAAAGCAAAAATTGGAACATTTTGATGTTGTCTCAAACGAGCTTTTCAAAAAATCCTGCAATATGAGAGTTAATGAATCATCATCTGTTGTAGGTCTAAAGGATGATAAAACCATTATGGTATAGGAATAAATAATGTTACAACTCATACGTTTTTCCTTTCTTCACCTCAATTCCCTTGCATGTGTTTTTATGAAAACAAGATCATGCAACCGGGCATGGTTTATAGGAGTGGCCATTGCTCCATTGACACCCCCTTGGTGGCACAGCTGCCAGAAGAAGAGAGAGACCGTGTTATATGGAAAATATGTGAGGGGACTTTAAAGTGACAGTGTGTATTTTTCCTGCCGATAGGGGGCAGTTGACACATAAATCACTTCAAGCAAGCAGTATTTTTGTGTTGGAGTAAGACCTTACCAACGGATGCCCATTAAGGTCAAAAAGCCCTGGGGCGTGCAAAATTTAGCTAAATAACGATCACATTAGACTCCCTTTCATTAGAGGCAACAAGTGAAGAGGTAAATGTGTAAAACAACATTTAAGAACGATGAAAGTTTTGTAACAGTTTGTTACAAATCAGTAAATGCATTTTGTCCTCATGGGCTCCCATAGAAGGAAACATGGCATCAAATATGGCGTCACCCAGAGACTTAGACCCACTCCCGTGTATTTTAGACCTGATTTTTATGTTTAGATGTTACAAAGCTGCCAATATTTTACAATAACTGGGAATTATTTCATTGATTTTCAACAACATTTTGAAGGACATTTCCAGAAACTATTGGTTAAAAACTACACATTGTCTCTTTAAGAGCTTTAAAAAAAATAAATAAATAAATAAATAAATAAGAGACTAAATCCAATTCTTTGTGAGAATAAATCATACTCATTAGAAATAGAAAAATGGGAAAACCAGTGCAAAACTGTCCTCTACAAAACTGGGGTGTAATGTTATGCTGCAGGTTAAGGTGAACTAAATATTGTACAATTTAAAATAAAAACTGTACCATTATATTTTTGGGCAAACATCAGTCTGAGAATTCTGGCATTTCAGTAGAAAACATTATAAATCATGTTCAAATGGAATACTAGCAGATTGTAATCAGTTACGCATGCACAACTGTCATGTCACGCATCATCAATTTAACTTGTGTGACAAAGTGAACCGTAATTTATCTCAGTTTCAACCGTGTGTGTGAAATCTTCAGGCACAAATCTTTGATTTTAAAAACACCTTTCAATGAAAAATGATACTTTGAGTTAGACTGATTTTTAATTGTTTTTGCTTGAAGAATTTTTACAAAGACAAATAAGCAGATGTGATGTAGGAACATATTTTTAAATACCCTATAACTAATAAATGCATGATACACTGTTTTTGTAGATCTCTTAAAGTTAAAATGTTTTCATCCAAGAATTACAAACAAGCCCTTCAGTTTGTACAAATCAAACAACCATCATCAGCTGGGCAGTGACAGGAGTGTAGTTCACAGAAGCATCTGAAACAACATTCCTACTCAGAAAAAGAAACAGAAGAGAGACTGTCACTACTGTCTGTCTCAAAAGAGGATATGAAACTGTGGAGCAGAGATGAGATGAGGAAGTGGAGTCACACATTCAGCACATGTCCTGAAATGGCCCACCCACACTCACCTCTAATCGATCATGGGTCATGTCACACAACACACACTGCGATGTCATTCTACTGGTTTTCACCAAAAAGTCCGAGCGTTGTTAGCTTGATTTCTTAGTTTGTCTTTTTTTTTTTTTTTTTTTTTTACAGAAATGTTCCAGAGGGAAATCCAGGACAACACGGAGACGATTTCCTTTTATACAGTTTCTGGGTCTAACCACAAAGCAGCCAGACAAGCATCCATGTCACGGAAGATCTGTCCATATGGCAAACAGACGAAGCTGTGTTTACACACACCTGATGCTCTTTCACACTAGAGTACATCCACCGAACCAAACCGACATGCTGCTCCAAGCGCTTGTGCGTGAATCTCTGCGCACATGACAACCTGCGTCTGTTTACTTGAAGAAAAAAATTAATCCCATCACTTTCAGCAACAAAAGCTCAGCTGAGGTGAAAACAAATCAAGCAGTGTGACTAGAAACCTGTCAACAATCACCACTGCTCTGACCTCTGACCCTGCTGATAGTAAACACACGTAGCTGCGTGATGGCTAAGAAAGGCCCTTAAAACACACTGGGTTATTTTTATTCATTTATTTCAAACAAGATCATAAGCAATCAATAAAAATTATCCAAGAGATATTTGTCAGCCAAAGAAATGAAGATATGTTTTCACAGGTGACTTTTAGGCACACTGGTCCTGCAGCACCCTGAGCTCCAACAATCACAATCTTCTTTACTAAGTTTGCAGAAGCAGACCACGAGGGATCATTGTGAGATTTCGTTGTTTTGAATATCATTAGCTAATTGTGCTGCAACTGGTTCAAGCTACACAAGAGAATAGGCAGCAGTATTCTGACCTATCAACCAATAGCAGGGGGGTAACCCTTGACTTGCTGGATCAGACGGGATGTCAATCAAACGTTTGAAGCTAATATAGTGCTGTTAACAACGTCAACGTTAGTGAGAAAGAAGAAAATTTTTAATATTTTCAGAAGTAAAACGTTTTGGACTTTGGACACAAGAGTTGTTTTGGACTAATTATTTTATTAGAGTACTTTTTTGGACCCTTTTGAATGTAAAAAAGACTGATTTGTTCAAGATGACTATTCTGCCATTGATATGAGGTTTCAAACAGTGAGTTAGACATCATTTAGAATTTTGGGGTGGTTTGACGAAAGCGTTGATTTGTGCTTGTACCCTTGATTGCCATTTATCACCAGAATCACAAAATTCCTTGCTTTCTAATGATATGTAAAATACGTAGTGCTGGGCAATAAATTGAAAATGTATCATTATCAAAATTTCTGACTCTTATCAAGATTATTTTTCTCATGTCAATAAATTTGATAATGAAAAAATGAAAAGATGTGTGTAGGTTGGCAACGTTCATGTCCCTCTAAGAAGCTGCACCACCTTGAGTCACGTAAAAATAAGGCTCAATGTAATACATGTGACAGCCCCATCTAGTGGACAACTTTTGTTTCTGCACATACGTGTAGTTATCGTCCATTTTTCATTATCGAGGTGACATCCTCAATACATCGTGATATTGATTTTAGGCCAAATCGCCCAGTCCTATGTATACATACATAGTTTTGCAAAAAAATAAAAATAAAAAACCCAATTTTAACTGACTGAGTGTATTTTCCTTGACGATAGGAGGCAGTACATACCTAAATCATTGCAAGAAAGCTGTATTATTGTGAGGGATGTCCCATTCTCAAGTTTCTCATCGAAAGTAATTCGATATCAGCCCAAAAACACTGTATCGGATTATATCGGACTGCATCAAAAATCTCCGATATAAGCAGTAAGTTAAGGTTCACGTTTTTGCAACCAATGGTTAAAAAGAATTGTCATTTTTTCATACTTAATGTTACTGGATCTTGTTCTCCGATTGCGTAATATCAAGCCTTTCATACTTTCCACTAGTGATGCACAGATATGACATTTTTTGGGCCGATACCGAT